ATTTACAAATGCAACCCCCCTGGTGTTTAATTCATCTCTGTTGCCCATATTCAATCAATTTGGTGATTTCTAGGGGATGATCTACGCAATTAAATATATTTTCAAAAACCTCTCTGTTCAGAAAAGGACAAGCTGAAAACTTGTTATACTTTGAATTTAGCAATATCCAATTGTGACAGGACTATCAAAAGCTAAAAATAATCAATACCAGGTCTGTAATGTTAGCACAATATCTTTATATAAGGTGTAAAAAGGGTTCTTTACTTTTTATTTTGCAAGCTGTTACACTACTACACAAGATAATACATCATCCATAACTCTAAAAAAGGACTCATCTAAGTTCAAAGGTTGTCTGTTTAACTTTTAAAGACTTTTTTTTGTAAAACAGTTCTCTTTGGTCTCATAAAATGCATATTAGATGCAGGAATACATTCAATAAATTCAGGAATACAACACTTAAACAGAGAGATCTTATTATAATTTTATATCCATTATTTTAGCCTAAAGATTTGTGTAAATTAAACTGGCATTTAATACAAAACATTCGTTCTTACATTAACCAGAGAAGCTAAAGCTTGAATTCTTGCTAAAGGAATTTCAGGCACATGACTGGTAGGGAGTTCGGACTTTTAAGGCCAAATAAATGGAAACATGCAGTGTTTACACATACTTACGGCCTTGAACTGCTTATCTGTGGAAATGAGTGGAACTGGATTGTATATTAAACTGGACGGCCCATTTTAAGACAGAGAACAAGAAAACTGCACCTAGAATACAACTGAAATGACCAACATCTGCATCTTTAAACAAAAAATGTTAATTGTGAGAAATCAGATACAAGTAAAATCTAAATTGTAGCTATCTGGGATCAGAATAAAATATATTCGTAGTACGATTTAATTTTTTTAAAAATATTTAATAAAAGCATTAAAGTTCATCCAAAAGAAAAAAAGAAATTGTGTCATTATTTACTCATACTCCACTTGTTTCTTCTATTGTACACAGAGAACGATGAAGAATACTAAAAGAAATACTAGTCATTGATATCCATAATTATTATTATTTTTTTTTTATCATTATACCGATGTCTATGGCTGTTTTTTTTCCCCCAATGTTCTTCAGAATATCTTGTTTTGTGTTCAACAGAAGAAAGAAAATCTAACTTAATGTAAGTAAATGGTTAGGAAATGTCAATTTTTGGTTGAACTATATTAGTTTAATGCAATATAACGATCTGTTAAACTATGATTACCATTTAATTCTTATAAGCTAACAGCTTCCTCTTGCTTAACAGTGTTAATTTTTGGAAGTCATCTTCTGAAGTCATTATAAATATTAATATTCATACATGTGCATTCATACAAGTGCTGTTCTCTTAAAAGAAGATTTTTTCAAAACATTTTTAAACATGAGTTTTAATGAGAATTGTCTTAATAACTTATTTATTGTTTTTCATGATGATGGTAGATACACTTTACTAGTTATTTTGCAAGATACAAGTATTTAGCCTTTAGCCTAAAGTGAAATTTAAAGACCTAACTAGGTTAATTGGTTTAACTAGGCAAGTTATTAGACAAATTGACTGTAAATTGTTTTTAACTATAGTCAAAAAAAAAAAAAACTAAGAAAAAGAATTTTAAGGGGGCTAATAATATTAACCTTAAAATGCTTTTATTCCAGTCAAACTAACAGAAATATGACTTTCACCTGAAAAAATAGACACTCAAAAAAATTGCTTTTTGTTCAAATTGCTTATTTAAATTGAGTTGTATGGAGTCAATCTAGGGCCACATATACTGGCAAAATAAAGCTTTGCAAACAAAAAATAAAGTATTTACCAAAATAATTTGAAATAAATGCAAATCTCCAAATATCACAAAGCGAAAATTTATTTTTGAGCAATAAAAATTTATTTTGCTAACAAAAATAAAGAACAGCAACAGGAAAATTATGTTTTGAGAAATAAAAATAAAATTTGCAAACAAAAAAAGAACTACAAATAAAAATCCAGCAGTGCAAAAAAAAAAGGGGGGGGGGGGGGGTATGGGGGCGGGCGGAGTCAAGGGAACTTTTGACTCCAGAAACATTTAAGCGACATTATCACATGTATGAGTGTGTATGAATGTTTCCCAGTGATGGGTTGCAGCTGAAAGGGTATCCGCTGCGTAAAACATAGGCTGGATAAGTTGGCGGTTCATTCCGCTGTGGCGACCCCGGATTAATAAAGGGACTAAGCTGGAAAAAAATATTTAATTTTTGAAAAATTTATTTTCGCTTTATGATGTTTGGAGGTTTGCATTTATTTATTTATTTATTTTTTGCTCAATACTTTATCTTTTGTTTGCAAAACTTTTTTTTATTTTGCAAGTATATATATGGCTCCATAGAGCTGAAACAACTCAATTCTTGAAGTGTTTTTGCGGACAACTTAATTGTTTTGTGTTTAAAATTGGTCAGAAATAATAAGGTAACTTAATCGCTTTATGTTCCTCAACACAAATCGATTGTGTGGAACCCAGCATTTTTGCAGTGTAGAAAATAGTATGAAAAGTTGCACTGGTAAACATTGCTTGGGAAATATTTGAAAAATAAATCAATTTTCACACGCATAATTCTGCCTTCAACTGTATATCTATGGCCATATCCATACGTTAAAAAGTACATAACAGTTTAGGGGTTTCAATTACTTTATCTTGCATTTGTCCACACTTAGTCTTCAATGCTTACACTCTTATCTTGGATTAACATGAGGCACAAAATAACAGCCCATGTGTTGGCACTGGACACATTACAACCAAAAAACAGTTGAAGAATGTTCTGGGGTGCAAAACTAACAGATAATAACAATAAAAGTTTGATAGTTTCATAAATTTCAGTAGTTGATTAATTAGAGTTGTAGAAAAAATGTTGGGGACATAAAAACAAAACATAAAACTTAATTGTGTAGGTCATATTTTAGAGCTAAGTTTTTATAGCTATAAGGTCTACAATATTTTGCACCAAATCTTAACCTCTGAGATTTATGTTGTGTCACAAACCTTAAAGTAGTAGCATGCTGAATGTCCTCTTAACATTGTCCTCAGTGTCCTCTGAAGATGTAGACAGACCCCTCTGCCGGCCCACCATAAATCAATCCTGTGATAAGAAAGCAACACACAGGGTTACATTAACAACTCGCATAATGAGGCTGCAGTTGACACTCTTTTACCTTTTCTGTGTAATTTAATAACGCAAGCCTGCTGACTTGCATTTTAGTTTTATTCTATTTTGGTTTTTGATTTGTACTTTGTGCTATTGGTCTTCAATCATTCAATCTTTAATTATTACATTTTACTTATCATAATACCATTTATTTAATTTTTTTTTTTTACATATTCATGTACTTATTTATTTAATCAAATTTAAATTTTACTCAACTTATGTATTTGAAACTTAATTTTAATTTCTTCATGGCATTAATCATTAAAATGTTATAATTATTTGATTATTTCTTCTTGTACACTAATGCATCCACTAATTAAAAATGTGCTGATTTTGTTGTTGACTGCTTATATTTAGTTTTTCATGTACAACACAAATTCAGTCTGATAATAGTTACTTGGTTTCGCAAAAAAAAAAAAAAAAAAAACTCACTCTTTTACTTGTTTCAAACCTTTATGAGTTCCTCTTTTTTCTAAGAAGAAATTTTGCTAATTGTTGAAAAGCTGTAACCAATGATTTCCATATTACAACTTTTCAGCTTTCTTGAAAATATCTTCTTTTGTGTTTAACAGAAGAAAGAAAATCATAAAGGTGAGTAAATAGTGACCAAATTCAACATTTTAGATAAACTATGCCTTTATTTGTACCCAGTATGATAATAATGATCACTTTTGATTAGATTAACATTATCAAAAAAGGAGGAGCATTTTTAATTTTTGTTTGGTTGCATGTTTTTTTGTTTAGCTTTTAATACACAGTTGAAGTCAGTATTATTAGGCCCCCTTTTATTTTTTTTTTTTACTTATTTAAATAGTTTCCAAATTATGTTTAACAGAGCAAGAAAGTTTTCAGAGTGTCTGATAATATTTTTTCTTCCGGAGAAAGTCTTATGTTTTATTTCGGCTTCAATAAAAGCCGTTTTACATTTTTTAAAAAACATTTTAAGGTCAAAAGTATTAGCTCTTTTAAGCAATTTTTACTCCGAAAGTCTACAAAACAAACCATCGCTATACAAAAACTTACCTAATTACCCTAATGTGCCTATAACCTAATTAACCAAGTTAAGCCTTAAAATGTCACTTCAAATCAAATAAATCAGTCATTAAAACTATTATGTTTACAAATGTGTTGAAAAAAATCTTCTCTTCGTTAAACAGAAATTGGGGAAAAATAAACAGGGGGGCTAATTATTCTGACTTTAACTATAGCCTATATACATATTATGTATGTATATGTATGTATATATATGTATGTAAAATATATATATAATGGCACAAAAAAAGCTATGCCTTTATAAAAAATAAAGATGACAGTATAAAATGCAGTCACACTCCTGACTTCTCAGAGTCGAACATGTTTGGAGAGCACTCAAAAGAGTATTTTTGCTGCTTGTTTAAACTACTTATTTAAAATGAGCTGAATCAACACAATTTTGTGTTTTTGTTTTGGGATAACAATTGTTTTGTTCAATCCACTTAAATTTGTAAAAACCATTAAAGTAGCATAATCGATTTGTGTTGGGACAACATGAAGGAATAATGTGGAACCCAGCATATTTTACAGTGTGCCCAATTCTTATATAAGTTCGCCTGGTTAGTTTAGTTAAGAACCTCTAGACTTCACATCGCGATACAGCCTGGGATTGGCTCACGAGCTCCAGGACTCCCCCGCTGATGACGACACAACATCTGACCTCGTTTCCAACGTAAACCGGTCAAACACCCGAGTCACTAAAGCCTCAGAAAATGAAGCAAATTCTCAATGAACAAATGACGTCAGAATGACTCTCCCTAAAACAACAACAACCAATGTTTTCGCCACAAATCTCTTAAGAATGAATGAATGAGGTGCTGCGACGCGGAGCGCATGCTGAACGCGACTGCTTAGGTTTGCTAAAAAAGTGCCAGTGCGATGCGGCAGTTGTCAGGGGGAGATCGGAGAGGAGGGGGTCTGATTGGCTGAAGCGGTGCTGTTGCCCCGGCGACGGCAGGGGGGGTACGGAAGCGTTGCCGTGCGGCGTGATCTCCTCCGCGCTGCGTGGATGGAGGAAGCAGCTGCTGATCTTTTGACACAGCGCGAGCGAAAGGCTACTGCATGAAAAAGCACGGCAGCTTTTGTCGTCGGACGCCACAGTAGAATGCACGAATGTAAGTAAACGTTTTACTTTATGATTTATATAACACCGAGGGGAAGCAGTAATGTTCGCCGCGCTTTTAACTGCGAAACGTGGCTCGTGAACGCATTATAGCCAATAACAAGCTATCGCTCTTTCTAGTTTTTGCTGTTTACGTTCTTCATTATTTTAACAAATGTATCTGAGTGTGTTGAAATATACACGCGTATTCCTAACGCGAATGATCTATTTCTAAACATTTTACACCATGTGATCCTCGCTAGCTAACTTAGTTGAGTGAAATGCGTGCGTTTGGCGTCGAGCTGACTCGAGATATTAAACCGACCACATTCCAGTCATATTTAGATACTTTTAAATGAATAAATACACCAACTAAAACATATCTCACGACACTTTCTGACGTGTTTATACGCTTGCTTGCTTTAAAAGCCACGCATTAGCTCGGACGCTAACTGAAGATCCTCGTTGATATATAGGAGGCTCGCCAGTGATTCTTGTGACATTATCTGCGGAAGTTTCAGAACGCTCGACAAGACAAAAACAATATTTGTTAACGCAATATTAGAACAATAACTCAATCTCTCACGTTATTAGCCGCGAAATTGCCCATTTAAATTCGAACACCGAACATTCGAATAGAACGTTAATCAAACGCGCGTGACAGAAAACGAGAGTGGTGCTAAAGGTTACAGTTGAAGGTTACTAATATGTGTATTCGGTTTGTGTCTAGTAGTGAGAATCTAGGACAACTATGTAACACGAGATGTGAGGGTGGGGGCTGTTATTTACTCTTGTTTTGTTTTGTATCTTATGTGTTGTTGTTGTTGTACATAAGCAGTGGTTGAGATCGAAAGCAAAGGGACTGGTTGCTTTGCTCGTGACTTGTTGATGAAATGGGATGTTCTGACGCGGACGTGCACTCATTATTTCCGGCGGTAGATAAACGTCTGAGTGACATTGACACGTGGTCAGAGTTGAACGCATAGCTGTGCTTGTGGAAGAGCAGGGAACGAGTACACAACTCCCGAGCTGCATGTCACATGAGCACATTATTTAGTTCTGCTGTCTGCTTTTGCACTTTAGACTGTAGACTCATTCAGGTCAGGTTGCGTAGGCAGTGAACAGGGTTGACATGCGTTTGCTTTTATTTGCAGGATGACCACATTAGCTGCAGGACTCTCAGATGCATGGCTAGGTGGATGCAAAAGGGCACAACTGCCTAAAGAGACTTCATTAGTAGCGAATCCTTTGCTAATGTAGTGTGCGGCAATAGTGTCTGTGCTGTGCTGTTTTCTCTGGAGGGCTTTTGTAGGACACAGCAAATGATCCCTTGCTTATTGCTTCTCTCCTGGCATTAAACGGGAAATTAATTAGTCTCATTATGACTCTCACAATGATAGATAAGATCTGGCTCTTGGCTGTGTGCACTTGCTGTCCCACAAATGCTGGAGAAATGCAGAGTGTACAAGTTTAAATCCCTGTTTTGGTTGCAGGGTTCAGTTAGGTTTGGATGATGTAGAATGTGTGCATCGTTTGTAGGTAATTTTTATTAAAAGTTTGTGAATAAATGTGGGTTAAATATTTATAAGTGTTTTACATGCGTGTTAGTTAAAGACATTTTGGGTAAGTTAAATTCACAAAATGGAAAAATAAAATGGAAAAAGTAAGAAATGCAACTGAAGTGTCAACTTTAACAGGTAAATTGTAAAATATTGGTGAAATAATTTTTCATTGTTGTCATACTGAACAGATGCAGTTATTAAAAATGAAACATTATACTTATTCTGACCTGTACATATAAAGATATAGAACATTTTTGACAAGTGTGTGTGAAATATTTGAAGACGTAAAATGACAATTATTTAGTATTTTGCGGCTGCAAGACTTTATATGTAATCAGATGTTCTTGTTGTAAACAGTCCAATAGTTTTTTTCTTGTATGTAGACAACTTTTTTACTGATTTCAAATAAACTTTTGTGCAAAAAATGTAGGATGATAGTCAATATTTTTACTCAGGGAAGAACAGTTCAATTCGACATTTTAATACATGTAGAAATTCAAGCTGAATGACACTTGTATTGTTTTATGTACTTATGTTTTTGATCCATATTTATATTTATTTATGACCACCGTCAAGCTCTTATCCTATTTTACAAGATAAAGTTTGAGTGTTTGACAGAGTTAAAGCGTCAACAATAGTTTAATCAGTAGTCAAAAACTGGCTTCAACCACAAGAAAAGACAAATATCCACCACAGTCTGAGTACATTTTCGCTACAAAAAAGGATGTCTTCATAAAACCACAAATTTGCATTTAGAAAACTTCTTGGTTGAGTGGCAAATTAAGTAAATGAACATGCAGTTGTTTTCTTCCAAACATTTATTATATGCTTTATACAGCTATTGAAAAGTGTTTCAGTGCATTCACTAGATTTTTTAAGTATAAAAAAATGTTTCGAGTCTTGTTTTATTCCTTTTTACGCTGCACAAAATAATTTTTTAATGAAGTTTTAGAAAAAGTTTAAGAGTTAATTAATATTTGGTGGAATAACTCTGATGATAATATAATTAAATGGATAAATACAACAGGCTTCAAACACAAGAAAAGAGCAATTATCCACCACAGTCTGAGTACATTGATTTTTTTCTGTCTTCATAATATCATTGTTTTAAGAAATTTTAAGAAGTTTAAGAGTTAAGAGAAATTAATATTTGGTGGAATAACCCTAATGAAAATATTTGTTGAAAAAATGCTTTAAATGACCATATATTCCAAATGTTATGACACTTTTATAAAATAAATTGAATATTAACATTTTTGTTAAACTTGTATTAAAAAAAATCAGAGACTGAGAACTTTCAATAAGTCCTAAATTCTTAAAACTGATCAGCTGTTCTGAACTTTAAACAGCAAATCAAACTTTCGTCCAAGTGTTTAAATGGGCTGTAACGACAGTGTCTTTGTTTGCTGGCCCCTCCTCTTTCAATCCTCTCATTATTCTTCCAGCTGCATATATTTCTCTTCTGCTGTTAGCCTCTTTTTGTTCCTCCATGCCCTCAACGTTAGACCAGGAGGCACAACTCTCATCCCCAGGAGGCTGTAACGCTGTGGTTGCCATGGCTACATGGTGTCACCGGGGCGTGGTAATCAAATATAGGCGACTGCTCTGGATTTCAGTTGCAAATGTGCACTTTTTCCCCCCCTTCATTTGCCTGGACCGTGTCGCACTTCGTGCCCACCCCACCCCAACCCCCAACTCAACCCTGTATTCTTAGACTTGGTCTGTCACACTTCTTCTTTTGGTTTCATGTCCCTGGCCTCTTTTCTGAAAGATTTAAGTCCATGCAGCAGCCGGCCGACAGTTAGGGCCCCTCTGTCCATTGACAGTGATGCTAATGTCAGGCAGTGCCTTGATGAGGAGAGCTTGCCCCCCAGTACCATAGGCTGTGTCATACTGATCACAATGGACGCCATTGTGTTGGTCACTCCTGTGTGAATAAACAGGGTGTGTTTAATTGAGACTGTAGGGTGTGACAATGACACGGGACGAAGTCCAGACAGCATGCTGTGATGATTGTGGGGTGGCTTGTATATGAATGACTGTATGATACTACCATATGAAAATGAAAGAAATGGAAACCCTGCTGATATTTTAGTGAGTTTTTGGCCTGTTTGATCACAATATTTTGGTCAAAAAGATGTTTTTTTTTATTAAATGTGTCATATCATTTAATGGTTTTTATGTTCTCTTTTGTTTTTGAGGCTTAAAGTTATTACTCTCAAAAATTCTCAAAACAATTCTTAAGTTTTTTGGGACAACTTAAATGTTTTATGTTCAGTCAACTAAAATTTGTAAAAACGATTGTTAACTTAATCTATTTGTGTTGGGACAACATGTAGGAATAGTGTGGAACCCAGCATTTTTTTTTTTTTTATAGTTTACATGCCTTCGTAAAAATGCCCTGTTCAAGCACTCCCCTTCCAAATTTACTTCAGTCAATGAGAAGATCGTCAAAATTAGGGCGGCACGATTTGGGAAAAATATCACAAATTAAAACAAAATTGTTCAAAATTAAATAACAGTAACATCTTTACCTTACTGAATTAAGTTACATGAATTTAACTTTAAAATACAATTAAAAAGTCAAATGTACTGATAAATAAAACAAATACACATTTTTTTAATTTTATATTACTACTCTTGGCTTTTATCGCCATGCATTCATCATACTTTTTCTCTGTGTTGCTTCAGGTGCTGATATAAATTTGTTGTGTTGCCACGTGATGTAGCAATTTTAGTTTGGAAAATTTTGCACATTACCTCTTTCTGCTCAGCGTATGATATCTTGAAGCCTGTTTCACACTGCAAGCGTCAGCAGCGCGTGAGCAGAGCTTGAGCAGAGGATGAGCAGTGCGTGTTTTTTCGGCGTCCGTCTTAACAGATTAGAACTGTCATACCGCACCCAGCAGCACGTCAGAGCGAGGAGTGAGCGTCGCTGAAGCAGCAGTGCCGCGATAGTTTTGGCGCTGGGTCTATTTTTTTCTGCGCTACTCATGCTCAGTTAAAGTGACAATGCATTGATAATGACCAAAACACATTAAATGACAGATAAAAGTAGCTATTTTACCCAATAAATACGTTAATCATATTAACTGACTTGTATATAGTCAATCAAATAAACTTAAACGATTAAAAACTACAACAAACATTTATTTAGGCCCGAACTACAAAACCAAATGTAAAACAATTTTAGTATCAGTTTTGCTTAATTTGCACGCTAGTGTTGCAGGAGAGGGGAAATAGAATATTTACGGGAGTTGTAGTCCATTGCGAAGTATATTGTGGGTAGTGTAGCTTGACACGCATGCTGGATGATATGAGCTCGCTGTGTGCTGTGTAGCTGAAGTAGAGGAAGAAAGTTTTATTCGGCTGTTTTATGTTCACTCAAGTTATTCCACCGGGAGCTGTTTGCACTGTGAACCTGACAACACGAAAATAAGTAAAAGAAGGG